TATATTGGAGAGACGATGAGACTTTTTCCTTTTCTTTTCCTTTCTTTTCTTTTTTTCTATTTTTTTTAATAAAAAGAATCCATTATGTTGCCTTGGTTCCTGAGTTCTTTTGTCTTTAAAAATGGAATGAACTACTTTGCTAAAGTATAATTTGTTTTCACACAAAATTTACTTTACTTATTAAAGAACTGTGGAATGCAAAGGGCTGAGTGTTACAGGTTCTGACGCTACTCGAGGAGGTGGAATATTGAAAGCTCTTCTAGCTGTCTAGGTCCCTCTCCATCTCTTCCCAGGGACAATTTGTGTGTGTGTGTTAGTCAGCAGGGACACCACCTCCCCTCCATGTCTGTTGCTGCTCACTTTCATTCAGTCTGATGGAGGAGAACTGCCTCCTTCTCATGAACAGACACCCCACTAGGCTCGTACTACCATTGTTTTTCTTTACATTGCTTTGTTTTTGAGACTTAGAAGTTTCCAGTGGAACTCTTCAGTATCAGACTTACTCAGCATGTCTCATCTCAGCGTGCTAGAAGCAGTGGGAGTCAGCTTGCAAGTGCATTGCAGTGTATCACTACTAAATCTAAGGGAGCAAGCAATTCTGTTTATCTTAAAATAACTTTGTAGAGATGGGTGAATCCAAGAAAGTTAAGAATGCCATAGAGACAACATATTTCAGAGCTCAGACGAACCTGTGGAAATCAATTTGTCCAGTGCACCTTGATTTAGCAGATAACCTGCGACAGGTCTAGACAGGGTGAATGATTGGCTGAATAGTTCCTGATGAAGTTCCCTAAATACTAAGTAAATACTTAGTATTGTCCCAAGAGTCTAAATTACCCATAGGATTTTCCCTTCATGATGTGGTAGAAAAGTGTGAACATTCCTCTTGTGGTTACTTAATTCTGTATTGACAAAATAATTTGTGTACTGCTTTTCATACAACTTCAACTCATGAAAGGGTAATTACTGACCATTCATAATTACAAACACTCTTTAAACATGGGCAAATCTTTTCAAATTAAATTATCTTCTGATCAAAAAAAAATATAATCCACAGGAAACTGAATGAGTTTTGTTGTTGCCTGGGCCTGTAGCATAATTACTCCTTTTCAAATTAGTAGAGAAGAAAAATTTTATTTTAACCCTACCATGACAAAATAGCTCAGGTGAAATATTCCTTGACATTATAATATACTTTCAAGGTTGTAAGTCATTTGTAAGTCATTAATTGCTTGGCTTAATATTCTTTCAAACCACATTACTTACTTCTTTTCTTGTTCAGTTAATATTCAAGCATATGCAAAAACAATGCCAGGAAGCACTGTCCATTTAATCTTAGAAGCCACTGTCATTAGACTTGAACTCGTGGCAAACTCTCCAAAGCTTTGAAGATCTTCAGTAAAACAGAAGCTACGTGTAGCTAGGCACATGCCTCTAATGCTAGCACTAGGTAGGCAACAGCAGACAGACCTTCATGAGTTATAGCCAACCTGGTCTATATAGCAAGTTCCAGACTAGCCTTTGCTATATAGTGAGAACTGGTCCCCCCCCCAAAAAAAAAAAAAAACCCATGCTGAACTTTGGTGTTTCTACCTTGAACTGTAACTAGAAAATATGAACAAATAAAATGAGAAGCTAAAAATTGCCTCATTCTGCTTGAACAGGTACTTGTCAGCTGTTGCACCTAAAGACCACAATAGTATAGCTCTGTCAAACATTTACCTTTCTATTTTACTTATTTTACTATTAAATTTCATGTATTTGCGTATTTTTCTATACATTTGTGCCTGATGTCCTCAGAAGGTATGATAGGGAAGGTGTCAGATTCCCTAGAACAGTTTTGAGCTACCATGTGGTACTGGGAATTGAACCAAGTCCTCGGGAAGAAGCCAGTTCTTAACTACTGTGCTCTCTTCAGCCCTACCTCCTTATTTTAAAGGCTTGGATTTACACCTCTAGTTATAGTGAGTTCAGAGTATACAAGCTCAATCCTGGGCATGAATAAGGAAGCAACCAATGTGTCACTAGTAGGAATCTAATCATTGATGAGACTCAGTTTTACACAAGATTGGACTATGTGGACATAATGTACAGCTGAGATCTAGGCTTAGGTTTTCCATCCATCTGACCAAAGTGAAATAGTCATTTGGTAAGTCTTTACACAATTGACTATTGCTAACTAGAGAACATATATAGATCAATATAGAAGAAAACTTAAAATTCTACTTATTTTATGCACTAAATTTTCATGGAACCCAAAATTCTTAAAGCCATTAGAGCATATATTTTCCCAGAAATGGTTGGAAATCATTGCTAAATATGTCATACCGAAAGTTGGGGTCTCAGTACTTGAAACTGACTGGTGTGAAATGTAGCTTCCATCCCAGGTTTAATTGTTTTAGAAAGACAAGGAATCCTCCTTCCTGCAGTTTTTTTCTCATCCTGTGCACAGCTCATGAAAGGGTGTTGAATACAGGACATGGTAGATACCAGATCTCCAGGGAAAACATCCCTTGCATCTATCTCCACACTGCAGGGGTGAGAAATCTTGCCTGACATAACATTCTGCCTGTGTGTGTAAAAGGATCATGTAGAAATAGACATTCACTCTGGAAATCACCCCTCTCTACTGGCAATGCCAACATGGAAGAAGAACCCTTTCTTTATTTTCAGGGTTAATATAGAAGCTTTATAATCAGTGTTCCTCAGTACTGCATTATTTTATTTTTGCTTTTCTCTCAAAACATCAGGAACTACATTTGTAATGCATTTGGTGTTGAACCCAACCACTTGGTTATCTTCTGACAGAAATGGTTTATTTTTTATCTCTTGGAAGTACAGTCATTATTCATTAACTGTTCACTTCCCCTAAATTTTACAATTCATTTTTTTTTAAAACAATTCACTTCATAATGCCTTAGTGAAACGGAGCACTTCCATGTGGCTACAATCAGAGGGTTGTATTTAGGCTATCCGTTATATCCACAGGAATTTGGTATTTGGGAGGATTGGGGTCTTTATCAGTCATGAGCTGCCAGAACTCAAACTGTTTCTTGAGTAGCTAAAATAGATGAATAATGCTCCAACCAACTGTGTGTTTCAATTTCTGCTCAAAAGACTTTCCACCTAATGGTGTTGATATCTTACATCCATGTGTTCATCTCAGGGTGCAGTGACTTCCATCTGAGTTCCATTATTCCTCTCTGGAGGATCAGTTATACAACTGGAATCAGAAAAGCAGTCAAAGTAATTGAAACTGGCAATCAGGGAAATATAGCATTTTTAGCTTAGGAGCATATGTTCCAATATAAAGAAAAAAAATATTTAACTCTAGGGCACATATTTCCCAGGGCCAGAAGGGACCATGCATATGTTCTAGTGTTTCCTTACATAGAATACTGATGTCCCTGTGAAGCACTTCTTTCTCTCCAGGGACAGGCAACTCATTATCTCTCTAGGAAACCTACTACCCTTTTGATTCTGATTATTTGAAAATGTATCATTGTAGCAGAAATACAATTCTTCCACCTGTAGTTAACATCCTTCAGAATCGAAGCTGTGTCTCAACACAGTAAATTAAGCCCTTCAGATGCTCTCAGGTAGCTCTTATCCTCAATTCCCATTTTTCCCCTTTGCTTCTATAGCATGAATTCCTTTTCTATGGAGTAGTATTGATTTTCTTGGTCACTTTGGTCACTGTCCTTGGAGGAAACACAAATTGGCTCTTATCTCTCTTAAGGTATTCCAATAACAAAAAATTAGACTTAAAGTCAGAAAGTCACAGGAAAGAACATCTTTCCTCTTTAATAAATATTGGAAGTGGTCAAATTATGCATTCCTCTTAATCAGGAATGTTGCCAAAGGTCAATAAGAGAGATATGGAATTGTGGTCAAATCTGTAATGAGCCAGTTCAGCAAAAACTGAATTATGTCACAACCTGTAATGGATAGTAGTATAAAAAAAGCAGCATATATGCTCTGAATTCTGGTAACTGAGACAGGTATGGATGGAGGCTACTTATGGAGAAAAGTATGTTCCAGGATATATGTGGAAGAGAACATTGTCTACCAATGGAAGCAGGCCAGTGCCTAGGGGAGAAAAGGTGAGCAAAATGAAATGAGATTAGAAAAGGGTAGAGCCTTGTAGACAAGAGTTTATAGTTTACTGAAATGAAATGGAGTGTCACCATTGGGTTTGCAGAAATCACAGTATTTCAAATATTTTTTTCACCTTGCTGTTATGCTTGTTGTGAAACATACGAGAAGGGACAAAAGTAAAGATGATCCAGTCGGTCTACAGCCAGTTGATACACAGAGGTAGCTCATGGGCTACAACCCTGTGAGTCTTAAATGAGAGATACTTCTTTCTAGAGATCCAGACCCAGGGATGGTAGAAATATAGCTTATGTTTGAACTTGACTTCCTTCAACAACTTGGGTAGCTAGCATAGTCTTTATTTTCTCCCATTTTTGAAAAGATGATAAGAAGTTGACAGCATTCTCGGGATGATTGAATGAATATATATGATGTATCCGGACTTAAACTTGCAATAGATCATTTGTTATCAAAATAGTCCACTTTATGTTGTACTTTCAGACTGAGACATTGTTGCATTTAGATTTTATCTGAAAATTGAGGGTTGGGGAATGAGAAGTAAAGACTGTGACCAGATTAATTTTTGATCTTTGCAAACTACTTATTACTAATGTAAGTACTCAAACAAAGAACCTATGAGGAGAAAAATAATCCTATGAGCATCTCTTTTGTTTTACGTTCGTAATTTGGTCATATCATGAGGACACAATATCATGAATGTTGCATATTTTAACGTGATGTCATGTTAGAACATATTATTAATCTGTCTTAAAAATCCAAACTAAAATATATTGGATTAAATATGGATACTATGGGATAAAGTAGAGCATCACTGTTAAACCAGAATCAGACTGTTTTCTCTTGTGAGTTTTACATCTGGTTGACTAATACTCCTTGTTTTACAGGAATCCCAGGAAGTGACTATGTGAATGCCAACTACATAGATGGCTATAGGAAACAAAATGCCTATATTGCGACGCAGGGGTCTCTTCCTGAAACGTTTGGGGACTTTTGGAGAATGATATGGGAGCAACGAAGTGCCACAGTTGTCATGATGACAAAGCTAGAAGAAAGGTCGAGGGTAAGGATGACTGTCGACTTCTTCAAAAATCTTCCTTCCATCATCTTTACGTTGTGTATTTCATTCTATTGAGAAGCCACTTTCCCCTCAGGGTAGCACTTTTTAACAGTCAGTCATTGGAAATGGATGTCAAAAACTCTGATTGAACTATTTTTCAAAACTCTTCAACCCATCCTCTCCATCAAACAAAATTCTGCACATCCTTCACCAAGGTCTAGCCAGGCGGAACCTGGCATAGTCACAAATGCTATACTCTGCCCAACCTTTTCTGTTCCCTATCAGACACAGAACTAAGAAAAGAAGTCAAATGCCCAGATTTCATCCTCAAATACATTAGTATGAAAGATCAAGGGAATATCTTCATCAGCACTTCCAAATCTACCACTCCTACAAGATGTTCACCAATGAGCATTACTTAGGTGAAACTCACAACACAGAATTTAAAAGATTTTCATCAAGAATTTAAGGAATTAAAAACTCCTTTGGGAAAAGTCTGATTATACTTTCTCTTGCCCTTTAAGACCACACGTAGGAGGCTGATGTAGGACACAGAGTTTGATACCAATAGCAGCCATTCTACCCCAAAATCAAACATAACAATAAAGCTTGTAAATCTTTTTTTAAAGAAAATTCTTACATGTTACAGTAGTCATGGTTGCTACAGAGAAAATGAAAGTGATATCTGAGAAGATAATCGATTTGTTTAGAGAAAATGATTACTATGAACAAGAACCCGTGGAGATTTCTGCTCATGTATACTGCCCACATTGTCACCTTTTTCTTTCTAATAATCTGTTTATATGCTTTAAAATTCCTTGAAAAGGGCTCATAGTTAAATAATTCAAACCAATGCAGGGAAGCCAGAAAATGATTCTGTTTAAAACATGAAAACATGGCTAAAATATATACATACACGTGTGTGCACACAAGAAAGGAGAGAGAGAGAGAGAGAGAGAGAGAGAGAGAGAGAGAGAGAGAGAGAGAGAGAAATGTGTTGTGTGGAGGGCTTTCGCTAGTTTAGGCTTTTCCAAAATGAATAGATTTTAATAACAAATCATTTCTTGTTAAGGTCTAAGAAAAGAGTTTCAGTCACCATATGGGTCCAATATTACAGTCCACTGAACATTAGTTAAATATTGTTTGTTTGGAAATCTAAAACATCACACATAGCAGTATGCAATGTTCTCTATTGAATCTGCAATTTCCATACATTGCTGATGAAATTCAAGTATTAACCTTACGAATTTAACAAATGGGTATTTATATATTGTCACTGAAACATGAGGACATTCATGCTTACTTTGAGACTTCAGATAAAGGGTCTGTTTCTCTGCATTCAAGCATACTTACAGGCTGAAAGCCAGTTCCCCATGTAAGAGACAAATGAGATTATGTGTTCTTCCAGTACATAGCAGTTCCCTAAGCCTAATTGTATCAAGCACATGGGAGCCTACGGTTGCCCAGATAATTTAAAACATAAAAGCTCATATATAGAAAAATACTAGAAAGCTATACTGCCACCTTGAAAGTGGGAAGTATGGGCCTGCTTCAGCCAACCAAAAAAATTGTGAGATCTTTGCAAATACCTCATTCCATTTAATGGATGTAGAAATGTCTATTGCTTTGAAAGTCATGTTTGTTTTACATTTTACATGCAAAAACCAGTATGCATATAAATATATTCAAATCCCATGTGGTCCCAACCCAAATGATCCTTAATATATATGAGTTAATAATTATAACAACATGTAACTCATTAAGTGTACTGACATTTAATTAAAACCCATTTTATGTAAATTTTATAAAAGCTGATTGCTTCTATAAATTTTGCTTTTTCCATAAATTTTTATTTTTTTAAATAAATTATAAATTTTTGAATAAACTGAGACCCAGAATACTACTGACAGTCATTCTGAAAGCAAGGTCAGAGAGAGAAATTGAAGACCAACATTCTGGCCTCACAACACTTATCTTTGACCATCAGGCCATGCTACCTTTGACGTGCCTGTGAAACTGAGACAGCCGAACTTTTCTATTATAACATGCATGTTAATCTCTCCTACCAGCTCTGCTCTGCCTAGAGATACCAGCTGGTAACAAGCAGTCATTTGCAAAAGCTGTTTTCAGTAAAACACACATTTTATCTTGACACTGCAGGCCTTCATTAAACTATGCACAGAAACTTGTTTTGAAATAACCAAATGAAATTCTGCCCCTTTTCTTCCTAATTGCTTCTAATAATAAAGTTAGTTCTTACTGGCCCCACTGCCACTGCGACATCTGATGGTAATGAGCAGTTCCTGGCAGAAAGTATTGTGACTTAAATACCTGCAGTTTATCTTTTTGTTGCAGGCTACCTTTCTTTCCCCTTCAGACAGAGGAACTTATTTGGAAGTTACTAAATGAACCTTTGTTTGCTCCCTTCATTAATTACTCTTTGCTCTTGCGAGTTTGGCGGTCCGCTTTGTTAAATGGCCTAAGGAGGTCAATTAAATTGCTGTCCTGTGATTTTTATTCTGTGGTTGTTCAGCATGTTCCCAAGCTTATGATGACCTGCATTAGCCAGTAGGCAGTTGGGCAGTCTTACTCATCATCAATCTGACAAGACAGATGAGTCCTGACCTCCAACATCCAGTGCCCTTTGTTCGTCCTTTCTACACATTTCAGAAGAAGGACCAAGTGTCATGAGGCAGATTTAACAAGAATGCTGGTGGCTCAGAAGATTTCATCTGTGTGTCCATCTTCCTCCTCTTATCTTCCTACTTCATCTTTACCAACCCAGTTGCTCTTTCATCTACAGAAGCTGGAAGACCAAGGGATGAATTCCTGGTCTTTCAAACAAGAATGTGCATTAGATTTATTATAAAAACAATATTATGAATAGTGCTAAGTTCCTACAGGAATGTATAGTTCCCTACATTAGGAATATTGTAGGCTTTGTGTTTGACCTGAGAACTCAAGGGAATTCTTTACTCCAAACTTCCAACCTCAAAGCAAATATTGAACTAGCTTGGTTCTAGACGGATCTACATTTTTTTTAAGTTGGCTGTTTCATTTATTTATATTTCACATGCCATCCCCTTTCCCAATGACCCTCCCTAGAAACTCCTTATCCAACCTCCCCTCCTCCTTTTTGCTTTCATAACATTTTAATTATATGCAAGTATTTTGGTCAATTCTAGGTTGAGGAACTAGCAATACAATAGATGCAAATAGTCAAGAAACAAGCAAGACAATAAATACAAATAGTCAGAGAACAAGCAAGGCAATAAACAAAATTCTGTAATCGCTGTTTTTAAGGACTTATCAGGATGACCAAAATATTTGAGGCAATGTCCCTGTCCTAGCCCAAAGTCATTTTCATGTCTAAAGCCTACTTCCTTGTTCTAGCCTAATATTTAAATCTTGCCTGAAATTACTTCTTTGTTCTACCCTAATGTCAGCTTCCTGCCTGAAGCCCACTTCCTTGTTCTTGGCCAATGTCATTTTCTTGCTAAGCAGCCCATTTCCTTGATTTTGGCCCATGTCAGATTCTTGCCAAGCAGCCCCAAAGGCTCTCTGCCTCTCCCCCTTTTTGGCTCAGAATTTCAGTTATATTCATCTCATTTCAGTTAAACAAGTATACACATGTGATGTGCAAATGTGCATGGGAGGTGGGGTTGTACACGTGTGCACATGTTAATCAATTTTGGTGCAGCAGGAGACACATTCAGAACTGTCACCAGCAGCTTGAGAAGTTCACCTGTGCTTCAGGAACCTCCACTCAGGCAAAGTACAGTGTTTTACTTCATCACAATAAGCAGTTTCACTATGAGCCAGTGTGGCATACAGTAGTAGTTTATTAAAAGACAAATTTAACAGATTTAGTAACAAAGGCTAATAGAAAGGCAACATACTCAAGTATAGGTATGAGTTTCTGAAAGACCTAGAATAACAGGAAGAACCTTTGGTGGCTCTTAAAGTAGTATCTCAAATGGTTCATAGGAGTCTTTCCCCTTGAGGTGTTTTAAATCAGATTAAATATATATATATCTCCTTTGATGTAAATGGGAGTTTCTGATAAAATTCCTAGAAAATTACACCTTTACAGCTGGGAACATAAAGGACACATAGGCTTAGTTAGTCCTTACACAGTGTTCACTGCTGTTTAACATTAGAATGTTAACTTGGAATATCTGTATATAAAGGAGTATTGTCTCAGTGTTGGCAAGCTTCAGAATATTCTGAGATTCTTGATGATCAGCAAATGACAGATCTCTGCCTGACTCACGAGTAAGGAGCTCTTCTCCCTTTCCATGTCTCCATTTTTTTTCACCCTGTGTTTCTATCCTGCTCAATAATACTTTGTAAATGAGGATACTATTGACTATCGCCTTTGTGTCAGGAATTAAAAGGATAGGAGAGACATCATGCCATTATACATGGGGACATCACCATCTAGCAGTTTAAAGTAGATAGATATACTTTGCAGTCAGGTATCTTGGTCTAGATCTCAACTTTGGCCTTTCCTAATAGGAACATGGAAGGTAGCACATCTCCTGGCCCCTCAGAGTCTCCTTGGGTTGGATAATGGGCTACAGTGTAGCTCTTCTTTTGTCACAGAAAACACTTTCAGGATGAAGTGCTATTTAAAGCCTCAGTTATAGGTTAGTTATAGGGTTGTTTTCTTAACATTGTCGCTTCAAGGCTGGCTTCTAAATAACACATTGTGTTGCCAAATGAAATTAATTTGTTTCTCTGTTGTTAGCAGTGAAGCGTGAACAACCTCATAGAGCCACAGCACTTGAGGATTTCCATTCACTTTACCTGGTGCCTCATCTCTGAATTGTTCTCAGAGATGGAGCCAGACTTTTGTGCTAGCTTTCCCTCTAACATGCTTCTCAGAATTCAGACTTTAACAGAGTAAATATGTTAATTCTGCAAATAGATCATCAGAGGACATTCTTTTCTATCTATTGCTTTCATGTATCATCATGGCAAGATAATACCGTATGAAAACC